TATTTGTTGATTGTTAGTGTATAATTGAAAATGAGTCGAGGAAGTGCTGCAGCGCCCAAGGGGAAGAAGAAGGGAGTTACCTTCACCATTGATTGTACCAAGCCTGTGGAGGACAAAATTATGGACATTGCTTCTCTGGAGAAGTTTTTACAGGAGAAGATCAAGGTTGGAGGCAAGGCCGGTGCTCTTGGTGACACTGTGACTGTTACCCGTGAGAAGAACAAGATTAGTGTCAGTTCTGATAGTGACTTCTCAAAGAGGTAAACTGCAGTTTAATATTTTTTTGTGGTTGAGTTGGAAATTTGCTGGAATGATTGAATTGTTAGTGTAGGCATTGGATTCTGAGATTTAGTTTATATTGGACGTTGGAACCTTTACAGGTTGTTGTATGCTTGAACTTGAATGGAATTGTTTTTATACTTGTTTTATATAAGTTGTAGACTCATAGTAGTAGTGAAGAAAAGGTTCGATGTTTTGCAAAATGGTGTAAAAAGGAATGGGGAAGAGCTCTTTTATGTTAAAATTTAAATTTAGAATTTCCACATGGCAGGGATTTTGGGGTCTGAAATTCCAAGTTTCCAATTTGATGATGCCTTTTGCTGCTTGTATAGCGTGTGAAGTGACAGCATTGCAATTTTAATAGACTCTGGGATTCAAGTAATTCCTTCACATCAGGCTGATGCATTATTTAGTTCATACCTTCATATTAAATGAACTTCAGCCGAACTAAAGCATTATATGAGCTCCATTATTTTGTAGAGATGACATCATTTTGTGCTAATTGATGTCCAAAAATGCCAAAGAAGTTAGGCTGTGATGGTGCTTTATATATAGGATGCAGTGAATTCTTGATTTCTATTTTTATGATTTTATCCTAAGGTATCCTCGTTTTCTTCTGGAGCCTCGAAATGATTTTTAATTGATATGCTTCTCGTCACTTTCACTTGAGTGTGTGAGAACTCGAACAATGTGTCTCAGCTCAAGTACCGTGTGTTTCTACGTCTAGCTCATTTACATTTGTAGTAACTCTTTGATATCATGTCCAGGTACCTGAAGTACTTAACCAAAAAGTACTTAAAGAAGCATAACGTAAGGGATTGGCTTCGAGTGATTGCATCCAACAAAGACAGGAGTTTTTATGAACTTAGGTACTTCAACATTGCCGAGAATGAGGGAGAGGAAGAAGATTGAGAGCTAGGATCAATTATTGTCATTGTTGCTTGGTCAATTGTTTAGCGTTGGTTATCTGAATTCTGATGTTGAACAAATTAGGTTTACAAACTTTTTTATTTGTTGAATGGGGTTCATCTGCAATGAATTTTTCTTCCAGATTGGGAATATCCAAAGTGTTCTACTTTTCTTTAATATTTGGTTTTATTATTTTGCCAAGATTATTGCTATGGGGTCTCAAACTAGGACGATAACTTTTTACAAAAATGAAAAAAAAAAAAATCCAACATTCCTTGCTCTGGATTTGCAGGAAGCAAAAATTCTGTTCTGGTGTAGAAGGGATAAATGTTTATTAATCAGATCTTTAAAAAAATTAAATGAAAAAATATTTTAAAAATATATTGTTTTAGGAAAATTTTATTAAAAAAAGTAAAATAACTTATTTTTAAAATAAAAATAATACTGTTTAGTTTTTTTTTTTTACTTAATTTTTTTATAAATCCGACTAAATAAACACTAATCCCAAAGGGTTGCTTCTGTTACATTGCCAAAAATATGCAACAAAGCTCTGCTTTTTGTCATCTGCACTTTTCTTCCGGTTACATGCAATGCACAAGATCTTCGGCATTGTGGGTTAGATGTATAGCTTGGAGACTCCATATGAGACACTTTAAAACTCATTTGAGAGAATACTTCTGCGGCATTTGTTTGTCTTCCATACAGTGAAACTTTTCCGAAATCCAAACCGCAGATGCTCCAATAGCTTAGTTTACTCATGATCAATTACTTCAGAAAGTTTTTCCCTCATAATGTCTCTCTAACTGTTGCAATTATGAGAGAACCACTCCTGTCTTTGGTTTTAAAAATGCTAGGTCTAACCTTCTGGGACCGACCAATAGTCCATGTCAAATGCAAAGATTTCCTTCTCATTTTCTTGCTCAACCATTGCACCATATCTGCCTAATTTGTGATGGAAGCGAGACCTGCCTTCGTTGCTATTTCCTGTCGTACCCCCTTGCTATATAGGTGAAGAAGACCAGTTGGTCCCTGGTCCCTTGTCCCTCCTTCAGCTTAGGACTAAAGACAACGTATCATGTATAATATGTAACCATTGTTTTCACCAGGATATTGAAGTTAATCTGTCCAAAGATGGCCAACCTGCACCTAACCAACCTGAAATTTTCCACTGGGAGAATACAACCAACCAATAGCCTGCTGCACCTTCTTTGAGGCTAGAGGACTCCTGATATTCAACTTCTCAACCAAACCTATCAGGGTCCCAGCTCCAGTGTTTGGTCGGGGGATCACCTGAAGGTCACGTAAGTTTTTCTAGCTAGAGGCCTTAATTTAAGAATTATATGACAGCTCCAAGAGGCGTCCTTTGGGGGTTCAAGAGGCCATACCGCACCTGTCTTTAAACCTTTGTTTTGGATAAAAAAATAGTAAAGAAAAAGGAAGAGAAGGAAAGAAAGGAGAAAAGAAGGGAAGGAAAGAATTAGTATTAAAGTTATTTAGATAGACAAAATTGGAAAAGAGTGGAGGATAATATTTTAATTTAATTAAATAATTTAAAGAAAAATATGATATAATATAATATAATAAAAAATATATTTATTAAATAATTAATTAAAATAAAATATTTATATTTATTTATTTTCAAAAAAATTTAAAAAATAAATAAATATTCAAGTGAAATCCATCTTAATTTGTCCTCTGCTTGATCTCCCTTTTATTTCCCTCCCCCTCCATTAAAAAATACAATCTAAATATAAAAGGAAGGCACCTCCCCCTCTCTTTCATCCCCTTCCCCTCCAAATCCCCTAATCCAAACAAAGGCTAAGATAAATCTAGGCATACATACGTGCCTTGTTCTTCAAACGGCTTAACTCTAAGACCTCTTTCACATTTCCCCCCTCGGCATTTGTAGCTGGGTCCTTCCATTTTGTTTGGTATATCGAGACTAAAGATAAAAATGTAAACCTGTAACTAAAAGTACAAATGACACTACCATTAAACAAATAGATTCTACCAGCAAAACAAAAAGAAGTTCCTGTCCTCTACTAGCTGGCACTTTGATCCATTAATTTTTGTCTCCCACGGAAAAGAGTCTCTACGTACCCTGGCCACTTCAAGACTCAGCACAATCTCTCCAACTCTGCATATACGTGCTTTTGGCGTCCTGGTTCATTAGTTCCACTCCCATTTTTTTATTAGTATATAAGGTTAGAACAAGAATTGTAATAATTTTTATATCTTACACGTCATATCTCGTTCTCATGTATGTGTATATATATATTAATATATATATATATATATGTGCATCAACTTCTTTAACTATTGAAAGTAACCCTGAATTTTCTTGTAAAAATAGTACCCATATGGTTTCTTAGCTCTTAGCTTCCTTTTTTTTTTTCAATTCTGCGTCAAAGTTCTTAGCTTTTAAGTTTGTTTTATAGAGCGCAAATGTTGCTTTTAAAGAAGAAACTCACAGTTGGTGGGGAGAAAAGGCTGTACATACCAACAGAAACTCTCAACTGCTTACCAGGTTATAATGGAGAAAATTTCAATGGGAAATATTCTGTAGCTTTCCATGTCTGGTATGAGGGTCGTCCCAGGTTGATCTGTTATTCCATTCGCAGAGGACGTTACAAAAAAGCAGTCTTTTCCAAGCATACCTGGGGATCTCTGTGTCAGGAAAAAGGTTTCGTAGCTGGTGACACCGTGAAGATTTTAAGGAATTTAGATGGGTCAGATGCCTTCAGGTATGAACTTCTAGTCCTGAAAAGACTCCAGCCATCTATTGATAGTAAAGCTCTGGACCTGGAATTGAAACTAGCACCACCTGAGCACTAAGCAAATTAATTGCCTGTAAACTAAGTTGGCTCTCCTAATAAGTAACTGTTATTGATATGCAGAAGTCCGATCCATGTGGGGTGATTGTTCGGACAAACGAGTTGGCTCAGGAATATTGTACCTTAAAAATGATAATTAATAATAAAAAAGCTAGAGCTGGGTGTTAAAACATGTAATTGAAAAGCAATTGACAATAAGTAGTGTTTTCTCCAAATCTCTCCCTTCTACCTCCGGATGACAAAAGTGTGCGGGCGTGCTTGCAGCTAGATGTGACAAATTTGCTGAATTTTTACTTCTATCTTATAGCTGGTGCAGTCTCATAAATTTTTTATTTATGGTGTATGTAAACAAGTTGAGAGAGCAAATAACTTATACCATTCTTGAGTATCTATCAGAGATTAGTTCAATCTAAAAATGAAAATTCGGATGTCAATATAAAGAACCAAAATGGATGGATTAAGAACTGAAAAGTTGACCTGCTAAAAATAGGCAAAAGTAAAATGTAGATTTAGTAGTCATAGAGGAAAAGACGCTCACCAGCAAGTTATGTGGGAAAAGTAGCTAGCAAATATAAATTCTACTGTCATAACAAAAAAACCAGCATAGCAAGCATAACAATCCGATTCAATGGCAGAAAAACATGCTTAAGATCCAGAATACTAAAACATTAAACTATAACTAAAAGGGACCACATCATATTGAAAAACCAATCTAATTACTAGTTGGTTTTAGTCGACCATGATGATGCCTTGCAATCTTCTTACTTGTAAACTTAATGCACCTTCAACTTCAATATGGATGTATCTAGCCTTGTTGTAATGGTTACTTGCTTCAACACACATTATAACTTAAACTAAAAGACATCATAACAAGTAGTAGGCAAAATTGAAATCAATTTTATTGAGAAAGTGGTTAAAAAAATACTATACTATAAGTTGGGAATACTATATGAAAAGAAAAATTAGTAAGTTTTGAAGTTTTATTGAAATTTGGTTGAGTTGTTAATTTTTTTGTGTTTTGTAAAAAATTAACAATAAAAAAATTATTAAGTGAGTCATACATAAGGAGAATTGAATTTACAAGTTCATGAACTGAAAATGTGTATATATGAATAGATTTAGCGGACAAACGAATGAAAAGACTAATTAAGTGCATTTTTCATTGCTCAATGATTAAAAAAATGCATTTTTTATTGTTGAAGGATGAAAAAAAATGCAAAAGATAGTTGAGACTAAAAGTATTCAAAATTAAAAGTTTAAGGACTAAATATTTTTTATGTTACTGAAAATTCATTTTTAATTTTAATTGTTTGTGACATTTATGTGGTCTATTTTTAAAAATTACGTTATAATTTTGGATCTATAACAAGCAAAATATATAAATTAGCAAAATAAAAATGGAAAATGAAGGAGGAAGGGAGGAAAGAGAAAGAAGATAGTGGTATTATCGGGAGTTAAAAAATTTGTCATCATATTTATGGTAAATAAAAATAAAATATTAGGTTATTTAATTAATAAATTAAAAATTAAATTTATACTTAATGAATAATGGTTAATTAATGTTTTAATGAAATTATTTAATAGTTGAGAAAAAATTATTTAAGTTAATTAAAATTAATTTTTATTTGTGAGTCCAAAAAAATTATCACATGCATCAACCAAAAAAATAATTATGCTTATTTAAGGGAGCTTTTTGAGAATATTGAAAGTTTTAGTGTTATTGAAAGATAAAATAGAAAAATTAGGGGTCATTTTGGGTATGTAACAGTTAATTAAAGTTAACGGGCTAATGAGTAATTTAGCGGACCTAACTATTTCCGTCCAAATGGGACCTTTTGTCGAAAATTTTAATGACCTAAGAACCTTATTTGTGTGCAATAGAATTTTGGAAACTCAATTACAAATTTAGTGAAAGTTCGGGACCTTATTCAGTCTTTAACCTAATAATTATGATGAGTTAAACAGAAAGTTTTTACTTTCTTTCTTTAAGTAGTATATCTTCATACCTTTGATTCGAGTAATTTTAAGGTTATCCAATTATTGGCACTGAGTTATAAAATGCTATCAATAAAGATGGAGAGTAGTCATTTGTTAAAATTGTTTGCACCTAATGAAAAGACTAAAATTTACATTTTTACAAATTCTCATTATTTTTTATCACTTGAACCAATTCTACAAATTAATTTTTACTATTATTATTTCTTATTGTAAACCATTGAGGATTATGAGTCATGAAGAAATCATGTATGCTAGAAAACCATTTGCATTACATATGCCAAGATTGAGTGGAATTAGCTTTCTCTAAGGTAACATTGTATTGCATATAGAAAAAGTAAAGGAAGTCAATTATCTTGTTCAAGTTCAGAAAATAAATGAAACTCTCTAATGCTTATTGATCATAGAAACGATTGAAACATAGCTTTGGAGAACTGGTATCATGATTTTTTCAAGCTCATCAGTCTGATGTCCTCAATCAAACGGTCCAAATCACAGAAAGAAGACCCACCAACACCAACAGATCCTTTGGCCAACCTAGCCATTTTCCTTGCTGATTCCAAAAATTCTTCCTTTTTCTCCACCATCAATTCATTTACCATTTTCTCAACAACATTTCTATCACAAACATCCTTTATGTCTAATCCCAGCTTCCACACCTCTCCCACAAACCTACTGTTCACCTGTTGATCAGCAAAGTAAGCCCAACATGACATTGGAACCCCTGCAACCAGACTCTCCAATGCAGAGCTCCATCCACTATGGGTCAAGAACCCACCAACGGCTGCATGAGCCAGGACCTCCTCTTGTGGTGCCCACTCCACCAAATACCCTCTCTCTTTAGTCCCCTCCATGAGCTTCACTGGAATATCTTCCTCTCCATGCCCCACCACAGGCTCCGGCCTTACAACCCACAAGAACCTCCTTTCGCTGTTCACAAGCCCATACCAAACTTCTATAAGATGCTCTCTGGTCAATAATGTGATGCTACCAAAACTAACATAAACAACAGATTGAATTGCTTGTTGATCAAGCCAGGAAATGCAGCTTCTGTCCACTGCCCACAGACTGTCGGAGGATTTCGATGATGCAGCTGCCTTCCTCTCTTCAAGGAGTCTCATCTTGAGGTGTGCATGGAGTGGGCCTATGGTGTAGATTTTGGGGCATTTGGTGCGGATGTGAGCTAGTATGGGTCCTTCCAGGTCTTCAAACGTGTTGAGTAGGAGTGCATGTGCTCAAGAGCATTTTTGTGTCTCCATAGCAACAAGTTGCAAAGCTGAAACTTCAGTGGTTTCAACTGGGCTAAAGGTTAGGAAGATCCCGAAATCGGAGGAAAGTTTCCATCTCTGGAACCATCTTTACCAAGCAATCCATGTCTTCATTTCCTTCAAAAATTCAATTTCCACATTAACATCTTAGAATTTTTCATAAATCCAACAGTAGAAAACCAAAATTTGATGCCAACATTTGGAGAGTGAAAGGAAAAACGGTTCTTACTTACTTCGGATTGGAATTGCAATCTCCCCAGCTTCGATTAAATCATGAATTACAAAGTAAAGCCAGAAGGAACCAGCATTAATGGTGTTAAAATGGATGACTGGAATCTCAAGCTCCTTACCAATATCAAGCACAAATCCTAAAACCCCATCTCTGACTATGCAGTCCACGGGGGCCGCGTAATGTCGACCAATAGATCTCTAAGAGCTAGCTTTGTTTTCACAATCATTTCATCATACATGTCCATGAAGTCACCGTGCACCTTCTTGATATCCTCGGACTTCGATTGATCATCCGGTTGATCATCTGGCTGGCCAATATCCGGTATGGTCCTGAATTCAAAACCGGGGTATTTGGCGAAACGAGCAAGAACAATGGAGAATCTTACAAGGCGATCGTGATTGTGGTTGGAATTGAGGAAGGTGACCTTGAGGCCTGCTAGTGCCAACAGCTCAGCTAGCTTGAGCATGGAGTTG